GCGCTGTCGCAAACTATGTTTCAAACTATTCCAAGTTGAAATTCCTCGTATTTGGGAAACTATTCAGGTAATAATATATTTTATTCGCTCATATTCGTGCAGTTTGTAGCGCCTTATCGGGCGTACATTCCCCGAGGTATTTAAATAGGAAGACGTGCGCTCGCATTTCTACCAACTAGATAACGTCAAGTGTTCCTATTAGTCTCTTAGGGACTTTAGCTAAGACGATGTTTAACCGGTTATTGGCTGCATTGTTTTTAGGTGACGATATTCAGATCGTATCGGAGGGCCAAAGGCCCGCATTCTCTAATTTATCGACGAATTAATTCAATTTATGCTAGATTGTTAATAGTTCATTAAAACTAGAGGTTTTTAATTAAAAAAAAAAAACGTAAATCATAAATATCTACTTATCAATACTTATAAATATTTTGGCATTGGTATACAGGATGCGCCAGAACTCGCGGCCTAGAGGAAAATGCCACCTAAGGTAAGATATCAGGAACATGAAAAAAATATAAAAAAAATTATTCTATCTATAAAAATTTCGAAGTTAGCAGAGTTTAAATTTTGCACTTTGACTCTGTTAGAAAAATAATTTTCCAAGTTTTTTTGCTACAGGCTAAAGAGGAAACAAAAAAGCTGTATTCTAAATTGTTAAACTTAAACTATAATTGTTTAAATTCTGTTACCGAAGATAAATATCAACTTTGTTATTTTAAATAGAAAGCTATGTTTTCAATTGCGTTTTTGGATTCTACGAGTTATTATTGACTTTCCCTATACCAAAGTTCGTCCGTTTTTGAGATTTTTAGACTTTCTTGAAAATTTGTGGATTTGAACCGTCCTTTTCAAAAATCGATAGCTTTGCCATTTGTAACTGTTATGGGCATTTATACGAAAAAGAATTGATGTTCCTTTTCGTAAACTCATAATTTAAAAAATGATTAACAAATCTACGACTTTTAACGATACGTTTGGGGAAATTTAAATAAGTACCCAAATCTCCCACAATATCAAAAAAGTCATCATAACTTTAAACATAGGTATAGAGAATAAATAAATGTTCATTAATTTGAATTTCCACAAGAAATAACACAATTAACTCGGAAATTAATCTCAAAATGGGTAAAATTGAAATGAAATCTCAAACAGTGTAAAAAATCTTGGAATTATAATGGATTCGGATACGATTTAATGGACATGTGAACTTGATTGTAAAGAGGTCTTTTATTGTTTTAAAAATGTTATATTCCAATTCAGGGCCGTACTCAAGGGGAGGGATTAGGCGGTTCAAACCCCCACCGAAATGTTGAGCACTTTGTTATATAGTGTTATAAGTGTTAAAAATTTCGTTTTTTTGTTATTTTAGTGAGTTAATTTTAAATTTTTGTGAATTAATTTTTCAAGTGTTAATTATAGTGTTTAATTTTTATTGTTAGGTACAAATTTAAAAAGTTGATAGAATATTTAATTTTAAGACAAAAGTGTTTTGAAAAATTCTATGAAAGGGAGCTACACCCCCTAAAAAAAGTACGTTTTTTAAAGGGTTTTTTCTAATATTTCAGAATAGATAAAATTACGAAATTTGGTACCTTTATATGCATGTACACCTAAACAAATGCCAAATAACAATTTTTTTAATCAAACGGTAAAACAAATTTAATTTTTAATTTTTATACTGTTTATGGTGTGTAACATACATTTTTAAACCAATTTTTACTAAAAATCCATAAATTATATCGGCAAGGAACCACAGGCAACATAGTTAGAGTAAATTTTTATCCTAATCCCATCTAGTTTAGGAAGCCCCTAATTAAAAATTTCAACATTTTATTTTTGTACTTGTTTAGGTGTATAAAAGTTATCATCTGTACCAAACTTTTTTTTTCTAAAATGATTTCGGAAATATGAAAGAAAAAACCTATTAAAAGATGCACCCCCCGATGTATGTTCATAGAAAATTTTTGTTTTAAAAATGAATAGTCTATCTCCTGTTTAAATTTGTAACAATAAAAAGTATTAAAATTTTATTTTATTTTTTGTTACTTTTGTGAGTTACTTTGTATTTTTTATGTTTAATTAGGATCTCTTATTTCAATTTAAAATAAAAACGAGTACTTAGAGATTTTTGCTTTTTATTTCGACTTCTTTCATTTAATTTTCATGGACCAACAACCAACTTGTACGTACAATTCAAAAAAAATATTATTTTATTATTATTTAATAAAAAAATTAAAACCTTTTATTTGAAAAAAAAATAGTTACGGGTATTTAAAGTTTCACAAACGTAGTCTTCAATTTTGAGAGTTTGGTAATTATTTTTTTAATATAAATACTTTTCTTTTTCATATCTCTAAATACGATTTCAAAATACTTAAAAATGGCAGTCATAGATTTTTAAAGAGAAAGGTGCAAATAATCCAAAACAATTCAAAAAAGTCTAAATATTTGGAAAACGGTTTAACTTTAGTGTAAAAAAAGCTGATAAAACTCTCTCAAAATTACTTGAGTGATCCAAAAACGCAATAAAAACATAGCTTTCTATTTAAAATAACAAACTTGAAACCGGAAGTGCCACCATCTTGAAGATATTTTCATTGAGCAGAACCTTACCGACTATATCTATTTGCAAATTTTTAGATAAATATCATTATTAGAACTTACAATACCTCTAATGTGAGGTTAGCTGAAACAGCCTGTATAAACATTAATTCTTTTATTAACAATAAAAAATAGAACAAGATCACATAAAATAACAAAATGAGAGTATAGAAATAAAAAATAAAAGTGTTTTGAGCAATAAATGTAAAAAAATCTCATATACAGAGGGTTCAAAAAGTGACGCATCAACTCAGTGAGATATTGTGGAGAAGCATTTGCATTAAATAAATTTTTAAGATGACATTTTACAAAATCTCAAGCTACAAACTTATTTTGTTAAGTTTTTAAATTCACATTATTTTTTCAACTGTTTCTATACAGTCAACAAATTTGAAAATGACGTGTCTATAAAACGAAACACTGCACTTATTTTGAATTTTTTATTATATCCACCAATTTGGGACACCCAGTAAATAAATAAAAAACTTAGGTATGTATATAGAGAAGGCTAATTAAAAACTCTCTCAATATTCCGAAAACGTAATAAAATCATAGCTTTCTATGTGAGATAACAAAGCAGATAAATGTCAGTGTCAGAACTCCCAATACTTTTCAAATGTAGCATTTACCCAAAACACTCTAGTTTTTTTTACTATTTTTTCTATTCTCGAAATTCAAAAAATAGTACTCTATACAGGGTGAATATAAAGTATGGAACCAAGCGGTTTTTTAAATCATTTGCCTCTACAAAATAATAATTAATACTCCTATAAATTAAAAGAATATAAAAAATGTGATTATAAGAAAAAAAAATTGATTTGTTTTTGAGAAAACTGTATAAAATACATGTATAAAAAACAATACAGAGTGTCTCCGGAAAGACGTCTCAAGGTTACACTATTGCTACTATTAAATACTAACAGTTTTTGTATTCATTACTAAGCGTATTGTTAAAAAACTTGAACATCTTCTTGGATCTTCTTGGTATGGAAATGATGAACAAAAAACAATAAACTTGAAATAAAATAGTCTTAAAATATGAAAAAAAGCGGATAGAGGGTGTCTCGCGAAATACGACCCTGCTAGTTTTGATATATTTTTTAAATAAATTGAATCTTGTTTCTAAGTTTGTAACATATTGAAATTGGAAAACGTACAAAGTGTCTAATTGAAATACATGTATTAAAATTACAGAGTGTTACAGGCAAAACGTCTCAACTCGTATTTTAAAAAATTTAAAAAAGCGTATAGGGTGTCTCATGTAAAACGACCTTTGTTAGTTTTACCAAATCTATACTTTTGATGTATTTTTTTAACAAATAAAAAACTTTTTTCTAAACTTATTGATAAAAATTTGAAATACATATTCGAGAAGTAAAAAATGTTCAGTTTGATTTGGTTCAATTGGTTGATACAGGGTGAATATAAAGTATGGAATCAAGCGGTTTTATTCTTAATCATTGCCTCAAGAAAATAATAATTAATATAAATTAAAGTAATATAAAAAATGTGATCGTATTTTCAGAACAAACTTTTGTTTTGTTTTTGAGTTATGCGATTTTTTTTTGTCAAAATTGTCATTTATGTAAAAAAATGTTTTTGAA